CCTCTGCTAGGAAAAGGGGAGCCCTCCTCTCCACAAACTAGTTGCCAGGCAACCCAGAGAGAGCTCCTGGGGTTATTATCTTTACGTGAACAAACACCCCCTGATGAGACTGATGCACAGTTACCTACAGAAGCAGACATGTGCACAGCCACAGTCAGACGTCCACTGGCATGAGACCAGCCAGGCAGTGATGCCCACAGACACCCATAGACAGACCCACTGTGTGCAGGTAAACAAGGCGCTCAGGGTCACACTTTAAATTTTGTTCTCTCCATGTCCAAATAGGTGGATCACTATTCACACCACCAGGAACTCAGCCACACACACACACACACACATGCACGCACTGTCACTCACACCTGTTCACACACAGTCAGACACACACAGTGCACACTGTCATGTCAGAATGCCCAAATGCCCTCGGGGCAGCCACAGCTGTGCTCACACTCAGCCCCTCCTGCCCCCTTTTGTGCACAGACAGACACACATACCCCCATGTGCTTTATCACCCCTCGCCTCATTGGACACAACTCTGTCTTTCCCTGCACAGTTCTGTACTGGAGGTCTCAGACGCTCCCAGGATCATAGGAGGGGGCCCAAGGGAGGACTCATCTTAGAGAAAAAGAGGGGGTGGGCTTGGGACTCCTACAGCCCCCAGGACTGCCAGGCCTCAAAACGACCTCCTTTGGCTCCAGTTTGGGGGTCCCAGTGGTTTGGTCCCAAACCACTGCCTGTACCAACCCTCCCAGCCCCAGCTTGTGACTCACGTGGGTTTTAGGATGGTTCTAATAGGATCCTAGTGGGGAATAGGTGGGTTAACAAGCTGAAGATGGTTCTGAAGACTCAAGGTCAGGATCTAGATATTTAGGGGTGCCTAAAGGGAATCAGACTCCAGTGTCAAGTGACCAAAGAGTGATTTTCCGAATAATTTGAGGTCAAAAGTAGTGTGAACATGAAGGGTGGGAGAGAGAAAATAAATGTCGCAGTGTTTTGAAATGCCAAAGCAAGGCCTTGGCCCTTCAAAGAAGGACCACCCAGGAGAGTGCAGACTTAGAGTTCAGACATTCCTGGGTTGAAATCAAGACACTGCTGCTTGTCAGCTGTGTGACTTTAGGCACGTCACCTTCCCCCTCTGAACCTTTGTTTTGTTTTCTTTATAATGGGGAGAAAGAGATCAATATCATCAAGAGTGGACAGATCTCAGGCAGACTTGGGTTCCCATCTCAGCTCTGACTCTTATAAGCCGGTGACCTGTGTTAGGCAGTTTCAGTCCCCTGAGCCTCCTGATCCTTGAGTAGAAGGACCCTCCTTACACAGCAAGGGAGGATGCAAGGTTTTAGTGAGGCTGTGCGTTCATGTGAATAGGTCAGCCCTGTTCCTGGCAGTTAGGATATGGCTGATAAACATGGTAGTTGTAGTGATAATAACAATATTATAGTATTAATACTATAAGCACCTAATCATAAGAACATTATTATTGATATTGGAAGAAACATGAGCTTAGGAGACAGAGAAACCTGGCTTGGATCTCACTCTGTCGTGCCAGCTCCATGACTCCGGAAACCAGCGAGCCCCACTGAGCTTCAGTTGTCTAAAAGGTAAAATGGAGGTAGCTCATGCCACCTCTTGAAAATCCTGCAAGGCTCATAGTAATCTCATTTTACAGATGAGGGAAACAGGCTTTAGAGAAGGCAGGTCACATGGCCAACCTAAGGACCCACCATTAGCACAAACTTAAGGAAGCTCTTCTCAGAAACAGCCTTAAAGCAAGCAAAGCAAGTTGCAAAAGCCACACGTCCCTCTCCGTCTTGGTCTCTGGGTCTATCGATAGTGTGAAACTCCTTTCCGGCATTCACACGTATATTTATATGCAGAGAAAAGGATATGGAATTATTCCCTGAGCAAAATGGAGGGAGGGAGTTTATGAATGACAATTCTACATTTTAGCTGTAAAGTCACCCTTGTAATTATTTCTACCACCTGGCAACTGGCACTTGAAGTTGTCCATGGTGACAGCAAGTCCAGCAGACTCAGAGGATTTGGGGAATCTGGTTAAGTGGCTAATTTCTGGGGCGTGCTCCAGACTCACACACATCTCTTGCTGTCTCAACTTTCCCTGCCTGCTGAGAGAGGGGGAGCAGTGGTGGTGGCAGTGTCAGGATGGTGCTGACTTGCTGCGTGGTCCCTCCAGGCCTCAGTTTCCCCACATATAAGTGGGGAATGCGGTTTAGACTATGTAGTAACTCTCAAGCCTGCTACCCATGGAACAGCTGGGGAAGTATAGAGCCACCTTTGATTGCCCCCAGTGACTTGGGGCCTCACTGGCACTTGGAAGGCTGGGGACAGTGCATGTTCTGTAGAGGACGGTCCTCCACCTTCCCCTCTCCAACCAGGAATTGTCACATCCTAAATGCCACTACTGCCCCATGGAGAAATACCTGGCAGTCTCCCATCCTGTGGCCTGGGGTGAGATGGATGCCCTGTCAGGTCACACAGAGGGAGATTTAATGATGTTTGTAGAATGAGCCACATGAAGTGAGGGCAGGGAGGGAGTGGACATTTGAGCTAAGGGCTTGCAGCAATGGACTGGGAAGCCCAGAGCAGCGTGGATGAATGCTCACTTAACCAGAAAACTCAGCTGGCGGGATCCAACTCTGGTCACAGGGCAAGGAGATGCTGCAACTCTGGTCACAGGACAAGGAGATGCTGACCTTCCCTCTGTCTTTCTATTCCACTAGCGTTTACTGAGTCCCCACCACTAATGTCAAGCTCCACACTGGGTCCTTTGGATCCATTTTATTCTGACAGCAGCCATGGATGGTAGATGGCATGGCTACCTCCATTTTACAGATTAGAAAACACTAAAGTACTCAGTAGAATGGATGACACCGAGTAAGGACTGTATAAATGGCCCCATGGCTTTGATCCACATCGTGTTAATGGTGTCCTTTGTTTTATGTAATGTCTGTGCTTCGGGAGAGGTAAATTCACCTCCAAAAATGAGAAAGAATGGAACATAAATGTGCATTGTGAGCCTTTCAAGAAATTTAACAGGGACCACTTTTTATATTTTGTTTGCCTTTATAAATAAAAAACTACATGTGCACTGTAGAAAAAGCTAGAAAAGAATTTTACAAAAAGATGGAAATAAAAATTATCTATAGGCATATTGGACCCGCCAGCGTTCTCCAGGGAAACAAAGCCAATAGCATAAATGGATAGATACGTGAAGAGACTTATTTTAAGGAATTGGCTCACGTGATTGCGCGAGCTGCCAAGTCTGGAATTTGTAGGGCAGGCCAGCAGGGTGGAAATCCAGGCGGGAGTGGTGCTGCAGTCTCAAGACAATTCTTTCTTCTCCGGGAGGCCTCCACTCTTGCTTTTTAGTGCCTTCAACTGGTTAGGCAATGTGGCTCACTCACATGGCCACAGTGAATTTCCCTTACTTAAAGTCAGCTACCATATTTTACCATATATCATGCACACTTTTTCCCCTAAATTTTTGAGGGAAAAATAAGGGTGTGCATTATACTAGGGTGGTAGGACAAGGTGTAGCTATACATAGGGAAAATGGGACGTGGCAGCTACACGTGCCTTTATTTACAAAATATTCATTACTACATTTTACAAAGAAGTGGCCAAAATGAACAGAATATTTTGTAAATAAATCAAGTATCTAAATATTATCAAATAAAAATTTAAATCAAAAAATTAAAATGAAAAAAAAAATTTTTTTTTTTTGAGACAGAGCCTCAAGCTGTCGCCCTGGGTAGAGTGCTGTGGCATCACAGCTCACAGCAACCTCCAAATCCCGGGCTCAAGCGATTCTCCTGCCTTCACCTCCCAAGTAGCTGGGGCTACAGGCTACTCAACACCTGGCTTTTTTTTAGGTTGCAGCCGTGATTGTTGTTTTGAGGGCCTGGGCTGGATTTGAACCTGCCAGCTCAGGTGTATGTGGCTGGCGCCTTAGATACTTGAACCATAGGCGCTGAGCCAAAATGAAATATTTTTTCCCTGAAAGTTTGGGCTAAAAATGTGGGTGTGCATTATACACAGCAAAATACAGTAATTCTAGATATTAGTCATACACATAAACTACCTTCATAGCATCATCTGGACCAGTGATTTTCAACCAGTGTTCTATGAGAAGATCTTAGGTGTGCCGAGAAAAATTTTAAAGATCATTAATTAAATTCTTTTCAAAAGAAGTTCAAAGCACAGAAAGCATATTGTTTTTTTAACTCATTTTCTTTTTCTTTTTGAGACAAAGTCTCAAGCTGTCCCCCTGGGTAGAGTGCTATGGCATCACAGCTCACCGCATGCTCCAACTCCTGGGCTGAAGCGAGTCTCCTGCCTCAGCCTCCCAAGTAGTTGGGACCACAGACGCCCACAACAACCCCCGGCTATTTTTTTTGGTTGCAGCCATCATTGTTGTTTGGCGGGCCCAGGCTGGATTCAAAGCCGCCACCTTAGGTGTATGTGGCTGACACCTTAGCCCTTAAGCCACAGGCACTGAGCCTTTTAACTCATTTGATCAACATAATTTAAGCATGTCACAGAAGTCCAACTGTTGATTCAAGTGTGTAATGAGAGGAAAATGGTGAAAAACTTTGCTCTAGACTAATGTTTTAACCAAACAACTGGGCCCCATGGCCTTACCAAGTGACATGTAAACTCATCCATCACACCTACTATCCAGAGACATCACGGCTATTAACATGTTAGTACATGTCTCTCAGGGACCCGCACTATTGATATAGATGCCAGGGTTGAAGAGAACATCCTTTGATTTACTGACCTTATTGGTTTTGAATAGAACTGCCCAAGAGCCATAAATGTGGCAGCTTTTTCTGTCCCTGTTTTGGCTCACTGTGTGAGGTGGAGTGAGATTCTTGCCTTCTCTGGGCTTCAATCACAAGCGCTTCCTGCAGAAGGTGGTTCTCCCAACTAGATCTGACTCCTTCTAGAGCTCACTACTCTTGTTCCCTCTGGCTCTTCAGATGGAAGTGCAGTGTTCCGAGGCTGCTTCCGCAGACCTGTCAACCTCTCCCTGGCCTTGCCTGTGACAGCCGCCATGCTGAACATGTCAGTGGATAAGTGCGTGGACCTCTGCACAGAGAAGGTGAGCACAAGGTCAGGTTCACAGAACTGGAGAAGCAATGAATCCATTGGTATGAACGAGTCCTTACTGTGATCTGTGAAGTGGGGGAGGGGTGTGACTGCTTTATGTGGATCCCAGGGGTCGGAGTTACATGGGGTAGATTTCTCTCCCTCTAAGGAGGCGGCAGTTCTAATAATGAGGAATGCACAGGAGTGAGGGTGATATTTGAACTGGACCTAGATGCGTGGGAAGATTGACAGCAGAAGGTAAAGACCACCCTGCCTCAGGACGGAGGGAGTTCCCCATCACTGGAGGGGTACAAGCAGAGGCCAGGCAGAGGCGGCATCCAGAGCTTTGGGTATTAGATATCCGCCAGATTGGATGATCTATGGGTCCTTTTCTCAGTCTGCACTCCTACATGGCTGCCTGTTTATCCTTTCTACCTAGACAGACTGTGAACTCCTCAAGGGCTGGGCCTCACACATTTTGGGCATATTCTCCCAGTACCTAGCACAGAACTGTGCATGTAGGTGGCAATCAGAAGTGTCCAGGGAGCTTCAGCCTTCCCTCTAAATGGACATTACTTTGGACATTACTTGAATGTCCAAAGGAGAACCATCCCACCTCACCATACAAAGGTGGTTGGGCATTTCATTCATTCACTCGACAAATATTGAATAAGAACCTACTATGTATCAGGACCTATGCCCAGTTCTGGGCATACAAAGCAACAAGATAGGGTCTCTATCCTCAAGGACGCATGCATTTGCTGGGGCCTGGCTGACGGCTCCTCCTGGCTCAGACCTCACTCCAACTCCTGGACCCTCTGAGTCATCCTGCTTGGCTGTTCCTCTCATTGGGCTCCTAATCCATGAAGCAGTCTCAGGAAGAACAAAAGGCTGCAGTATCATCGTGGCTTCTGCTTGCTGAGAATGTCCTCCATGCACAGCTCTGCACCCTGCCTCACATGTTCACTTTCTACAATAAGCCTATGAGTTTGAAATTTTTATACCCATTTCACAGATGAGAAAAGCTAGACTCAACTGAAGTCACTTGCCTAAGCCCAGAGCACAAGCAAATGCCAGAACTGAAGTTGACACTGGAGATTGACTCCAAACTCATACTTTTAACTTCTGGGCTACGCCGGAGACCCCACAAGGAGGCTTCCAAGAGCCTCCTTCCAAGAGCAGCCAGCCTACCTCGAATTACCAAGCCTTTCCTGCAGGGTTACTGTGCTCCTAAGAGGCAACCTGGAAGGTTAGGGGTGAAGTTCGTGGGATTAAAAGGGGCTTGGCCATCATTTGGTCTAATTCTCTCCTTTGGGCAAGCTTTCCCCCATGCACACGGCATCCTCTCCACGTGGACATTCCTTTCCCTGGAGGAACCTTCAAATCCCCTAAAGGTGAAGGCAGGGGGACAAAGTGGCATGTGACAGTGAGGTCACAGGGCAACCAGTGTCACAGACTGCACACAGGACTAGAGAGAATCAAAGGTGTGTATGGGTGCACAGGACACTCCTTCTGTAAACTTCCCTCTTCCTGTTCTCTCTCATCTCCTTAGGTGACCTAGGAAAGAAGCCGGGAAGTTAAGTGGGCAGGGATATAGAGCTGTTTGTGCCATGTGGGGGTGGGTCTGAGATTTAAGGTATCAGAGGAGGCTCCAATATGTCACTAGTTAGAAAACTTCACTAGCCATGGCCCAAGAAGCCAGCACATCAGCACCTCTCTCTGCCTTTTGTATTAAATATCTGTTAGGAAGAAACCAAACCTGCCATGACAAACCTTGCTGGATCCAGCCACACAGTTGTGACCTTGGTTTGTTACCAGATCCAAGGACCAGCTGTCAGGGAAAGCTAGGGGCTGCAGGTCTGGTTTAGAAGCAAATTACTCAAAGAACAGTCCCTTGCCCTCTGAATCTCAGGCCCTTTCTGGAACCGCTTAACTATTTGATAGAACAAATGAAACATTCAGGAGTGATTCTTCCAACAAAGACTCTGGATACACTTAGACATTGGTATCTTCTTTGGCTTTGTAACAGATCCAGACAGCTCTTCCTAAGGTGTGGGCTCCATATCACCATCAGACCAAAGGCCATTTACTGAGAGTGTATTGGTGATAACAGGATTTCTTTTTCAAGTCCTCCAGGAGAAAGCATCATCTCAGTGCTAAAGCATCTCTAAATCTTCTCTACCCTCAGCTATTCTCTCTTTTGCATGAAAAGTAAAGCCAAACCTAGGTTCAGAGTCTTGCCTAGACTGAATTTACTTATTCTGTTTGTTTATACAGTATTTGCATAGTATGGGAATGCTTGGTGGCCATATAAGTTTTCTTTTGAAATTTAAGTTTCAAAAAGTGAGTTGGCTTAAAGGAAATAAAGAGTACTGGAGGTGCACAGATGGAAGAAAACCATAAAGGTGTTATTCACTGATGAAGTTTGGGGTCTCTCCAGTCGAGGGAGAGTGATGAGGAATGGGAAGGTTGGTATCCAGTCCTGTGGATTCAGAACCTGGGGCTGTCCCCAGGGTTTAGCAGCTGTCTTTCTCTTCTTCTTCTTCTCCCACTCCATCCCCAGGAGTACCCGCTGGCAGCTCTCGCGGGCACCGCCTGCCACTGTGGGTTCCCTACCACCAGATTCCCCCTCCACGACAGAGAAGACGAGCAGCTCTGTGCCCAGAAGTGCAGTGCAGAGGAGTTTGAGAGCTGCGGGACTCCTAGTTACTTCATCGTGTACCAGACCCAGGTCCAAGGTAAGCCCGGCCTCCCCACCCAGCAGACCCCACACGTTCTCCCAAGAGCACCTCCCAGAGTCCCATTAGAGTGCTTCTGATGACCCCATCTCTCTCTCCCATCACTGAGGAGGGACCCTTGGCAGCCTTTTTAATGTGGTAGAGGTAGTGAGATTGAGTGGGAACAGAGACCCAGGTCTCCCACTGGCTCCAAAACAGACTCACTGTGTGATCTTGGACAAGTCATTTCCTCTTTCTGGGCCTCAGTTTCTCTGCCTATAAAATGAAGCTGCAGATTGTTGACCTTCAAAGTCTCTTCCAATTCTAGGAGTTGGCAAATTTATCTGTAAGTTCTTCTTTCTCTTGCTCTTTCTTCTCTCTCCCTGTCTCAGTCATCCTTTCTGCTCTTGCTCTTCCTTTGCTAGTGGAACACACACTTACTGTGTATTCCCTCTTCTGTCTCTTGAGACTACGAGGCATGATGATGGTGATGGTAATGAGTGATCCTGATGGTTGACGGTGATGATGATGGCGGTGATTGCTGGTTGATGGTGATGGTATTGGAGGATAGTGATGGCTGATAGGTGATAGAAATGATGATGATGGTGGTGATGGTTAATGGTGATGGTGGTGATGGCAATGGTAATGGTGGTGATGGTGGTGATGGGGATGTGGATGATGATGGTGAGGGTAATGGTGGTGATGGTTGATGGTGATGGTGGTGGTGGTTGATAGTGATGGTGGTGATGGGTGATGGTGATGATGGTGATGGTGATGATGGTGATGGTGGTGATGGTTGTTG